AATGGCTCGTTAAGAATGCCTTAAGTGAATGAATGAGAACACCAATACATATACAAACAATGAATATATGTACAAATTAACAGGGGAGTTGAATCAATAAATATATAAAAAGGGAATAGGAGAAATAACGAAGAACTTAGACCCTGAGGTGTAACATGGCCAGCAAGACCTCACTCTCCTCCCTTGACTTTGCCTTTAGACCAAGATTTCGTTCTGTAAGACGTGTGTGAGCGAGCGAAGGGAAAGGGTGGACGCGGATAACAGAGAGTGCCATAAAAAGTTGATGTCATGTTAGTAGGGGGATAAAGGAGAACAGGCGAGGTGTAATAAAGACGAAATGACGAAGGGGAAGAGATGGAAAATTAAGATGGCGGAGGGATTTCAGACGTAGGAAGGAGGTAGACGTAACAGCGGAGGGAAAAGGAAAGAAGGAGAGAGAGAAAGGGAAAGGAGGAGACACACCTACTACTATTATCTTAAAAGGAAAAGAAGGATTCTTCAGAGCTGAAACAAAACATGTCACTGCATCCTTCATCTACCTGAAAGTATTTCCAAACCCTAAGAGTAGAGGGGAGGGGGGGGGTCATATTATATATTAAAGAGGCACGGGTTATCCAGCATAAACTAGGCCTATACAATGGGGGTGAAATAACAGCCTACATATATCACAATGAAAAGGAAATCCCAAACGAAAGAGTAAGCAAAATAAATCAGGATTTTAGGGGACTTCATAATTTTACTTGTATAGAGACCTGGCACCCCTGTGACAGATCTAATGCGTTCATAACAGCAGTCTGAAATATTGCTTTCTCGCTTTCTCTCTCTCCCACCCGATTCACCCCTTACTCTTTCACTCCCTCTGGTTCCCCCGCTTTCCTCGTTTAACCGTCTACTCTCTCTCTCTCTCTCTCTCTCTCTCTCTCTCTCTCTCTCTCTCTCTCTCTCTCTCTCTCTCTCTCTCTCTCTCTCTCTCTCTCTCTCCCTCTCTCTCTCTATCTCTCTCTCTCTCTCTCTCTCTCTCTCTCTCTCTCTCTCTCTCTCTCTCTCTCTCTCTCTCTCTCTCTCTCTCACTCGCTCTCATTCTCACACACACACACATACACATCATATGGAAAAAGCCAAAAAGCTGGCTGACAAAAGACACTGCCATACTACCTACTAAGCAGAATCTACCTCCTACTAGATCACTCGTGTGAAAATTTTATTGACCAGCTTTATAGATATACTGAACGGAAATGTCCCACAGATATTAAATGTCCCTTTACCAGCCGAGCTACAACCTAAAGAATTCCCTACAACCAATGAAGATAAAAGCCTTCTGTGTGATATAAATGATCGTACGCCAATAAAACTAAAATATTATGATAAATCTTTCTGAACTGGCCTTAGCATATATATAGGAGAGAGGAGAGTATGGGAAGGGAGCGGTAGATAACAGAGAAGAGAGGGGAAAAGACAGGAAAGGGGAGGAAGAGAAGATGTAGGTGGATAGGCTCTGTCTGAGGAAAAGGGAGAAAAAGAAATATACAAATACATACATACATACACACACACACACACACACACACACACACACACACACACATATATATATATATATATATATATATATATATATATATATATATATATATATATATATATATATATATACATATATATATATATATATATATATATATATATATATATATATATATATATACATATATATATATATATATATACATATATATATATATATATATATATATATATATATATATATATATATATATGTATATATATATATATATATATATATATACATATATATATATATATATATATATATATATATATATATATATATATATATATATATATATATATATATATATAGTGAGAGAGAGAAAGAGAAAGAAAGAAAGTGGGAAGAAAGCAATTAATAGAGGAAAAACAAAGAAAATATTTGTTTAGAGATACACCCTCCCGGCCTATCCCAGAGCGTGATCTTCGTGTCGACAGTATTGCCAGCGTGCGAGGACGACCCAGTCTTCCGAGCTGTCGATAAAATTAATGGTTCGGTCAGAATTTGACGGGAAATGTTTGACAAAGCGTTTCTGGTAAGAAGAATTGACGAGAAACTTCAAACGGGAGTGAGGTTTTGTTGGGGGAGATGCGTCAGGAGGACATATTTGGTCTAGGATGTTTCCAAAATTTTACGAAGAATTTCGAAATATTGCTGTGGGAATTGTAATTCAGAGATATGACAATGATATATCAAAAATAAAAATGATGATGATAATATTAATAATAAGGATAACAACAACAACAACACCAACAACAATAACAATAATGATAATAATAACAATAAAATAATAATAATGGTGATAATACTGATAGTAAAAATAATTACGACAATAAAAAGAACAATAATGATAATAAAATATTAATAATGATACTGATAGTAATAATAATTATGGTAATAACAAGGATAGCAATGATAATGAAATTATAACAATGGTGATAATACTGACAGTAATGATAATTATGACAATGACAAGGATGATAATAATAATAATAATAATAATAATAATGATAATAATAATAATAATGATAATAATAAAATAATAATAATAATAATAATAATAATAATAATAATAATAATAATAATAACAATAATAATAATAATAATGATAATAATAATAATGATAATATAATAATAGTGACAATAGTAATAATGATAATAATAATAATAATAATAATAATAATAATAATAATAATAATAATAACAATAATAATGATAATAATAACAATAATAATAATAATAATAATAATAATAATAATAATAATAATAATAATAATAATGATGATGATGATGATGATAATGATAATGATAATGATAATGATAATGATAATGATAATGATAATGATAATGATAATGGTAATGATGATGATGATGATAATGATAATAATAAAAATAATAATGATGATAATAGTAATAATAATAATAATAATAATAATAATAATAATAATAATGAAAAAAATATATTTATAATAAGAACAATAATGGTGATAATAATGATAATAGTATTAATAACAATACTAAAATGTTTAACACTAATGATAATGATAATGA